CCATTATTTTGAGGACATGTTTTCTTCTTTGAAAAATAAAAAGATGAAATACATACAATATACATGAAAGGTATTATCATAAGAAACATTAAAATGAGGAATTATGATCCATTTTTGTCTTAACACTCACACAACTCTTAAACTGAGAATAAAAAATTCTAGAAGCCTGAGAAGGCTGTCTAGATGCCTGTACTTCTCTCCCTTCCCTACTAAGGACCTGGGTGTCTGCCTTTCTGGTTCTAGTCACAAGATGGCACTTACCAGGTATTCTAAATTTTCTCAAGGCAACTATTTTTATGAAGTGGACAAATCAACAAAATGTATTTTGTATGAACAGATTATAAGAGAGTATCAGAGTGTGATTGCATTTCTGCTGCAGAATTGCACATGCATACAGGAAAAATATCTGCACAAGACTGATGTGAGAATTCAAACAGGAAACATTTTTTAAAAAGTTGCTGCACAGATTTAGCTTAGAGAAGACATGAGGCAATTGTTATTCCCTTGTAGGATGATTGTATCATAAACCAAATAACAATGGAATTACAGGGATCATTTCAAATAATAAGAACAAAAAGGAAAATAAACATGCCATCTACATTACAGATGAGGTTTCATCTCCTTCCTGTGTTTCAGAATAACATGTCTGCTAAAGTTTTGGTAGGGAAGTTTCTTCACACAATTTCCATTTATTTGGTTTTATTCCCTGTTTCCTTTTGAACAGCCTGGATTTATGTCAGAGATGCACATGACCTAGGGAATCTGCATGTGAAGCCCACTGAGGCCCAGAAAGTCAGTTCGACCTTAGAAACCTAGAGCAGGGAAAAGCAACTAGAGTGAGGATCACAATAACTAGATCACAGGGCCAGACTGTCCATGTTCTACTTGACATTGGGTGAGGATTTTCCTATTTCATGAAATATGAAATGTTTAACATTGAAAACATCTTGAGAACTTTGGGTATAATTCATTTTGCTTCCTTCTCTGCAGCCATAGCATTTTTAATTAAAAGCCAGATTTCATAGTAAAATCATGGTAAGTTGAGACTTTGAAGTACATATTGTTTTGCATCATGTTCTGCCATCATAATGTTTTATAATTAAAGGCCATAGCTTTTAGCTTAGGGAAAAATGTTCATGTGTTAAGCCATGATGAAGAAATTGTGCAAGAGGCTCTTCAGGCATTTTGAGGTTCCAGCAAGTGTCCTAAAGCTCCAATCCTTGACAGCTATGTCAGGTTATCACCATATACTAGATTGTATAGTTACAAAGATTTCTGTAAGGTTTTATGTCCTTCCTTAAGTAGACATCTGTATACTCTCTTGAATAATATTTTGTAGTGATTTAACATATTTAAGCCTTTCCTAATAACCATCAACATTCTCTTCAAGTCATGCTGTTAATGAGGTTGTTGGTAATGAACCCCGCTATCAGTGTCCATGAGATCTTACATTGCTCTTGACAGACAGGGCAGCCATTGTAGTTTAGGAAACATTACAACCTAGCATTTCCTCATGATATCCCAGTGGAATCCCAAAGGCACAACTTATCCAGGAATACAAATAATGTCCCTGACATGGCAAAATACTCTTTCACACATATTTCCTTCTCATAGTACAACAGAAATAGTAAAAAGAGGATACTTGTTTTGTGTTATCGTAATACCTCTTTTCTGTTTTTGTTCCCCTTGCCCCAAATAATTTCCATTTATCTGACCTTTATCTGATACCTACTGTTTATTATAATTTCTATCTTGTTTTCATTCTAATTGTCCATATTCTTTTTTCAAGCTATTCTGTGAAGTTTCTGAAGAAGAAGGTACAATAGATGAGAACCATTTACTAACCCTAATGCAATAGAGTCATGGGCTCTTCAAAACATTGCTTTTCTAGAAAAACAGGCAACTAAAACCAGACAGGTGACCTAAGAATTTTTTCACGATATTTCTCATTTGATTTCTTGTCTATATCCAGATGCACTAATTGAACATGAGCAAGTTCAGTATTTCTATGGTTAAATTAGGACTTCTTTTCCTCTTTTCCCATTCTTTCTCTCTCATCTGTCTCTTGCTACACACTTAAGTTCTAAACTCTTTTTTATTATTGTACCATTAAATATGGTTTAATATGTAGACAACAGAAGTTAATATCAGAGATGCACATGACTCATGCATATTTCTTAACTATGCTATCTTGTGTGAGAAGATGACAACTCAGCATTGTCAGGGATTTGAAAGTTTTCTCTCCACTTGAATAATAAAGATCTCAAACCCAGAACTGTCTGCCTGCCTACCTATTAGAACACTTCAAAAACAACTCATTATAATGCTTTCATGACAAACTCATAAAGGCTAGACATTGGGTTCTTCTATCAGAAATCTGTATCTCCTCATCAAAGTTCTTTGGCAGCTAAAGTTCTTTGATGAGGAGATACATCCTTATTTCAGATGTCCTGAATAAAGGACATCTACATATTGATGTCCTTTATTCAGATTGGTTTCTGAAATAATTTTGAAGTACAATGACCTTTCTGTTATGTGTTTCTGGAAGAATGTTGGATTCTTTCTTTGGAGTTCCCAATGCAGACAGTTTTATTTGTTTTCATTTGTTAATTACAGGAAGAGCTGTGTCATACTGCAGATCTCTTTCTCTAATCTGAATAGTCAGATGGTAAGAGATAGGAATCATGTCTACTAGTTCACTCTAATAATGCAATGGATTGTGAGTGTCTCATCAACTTTAATTATGTATTTTTAAATTCAACATTATCTTAAGATAACTAATACTCAGAATGATACATTGGCAATTAAATGCAATAAAAATTTAAATATTTTGATTTCTTGAACATTTTGTGAACAAAAAAAAGCTCGATACAAAGGATAGAAATGTTTTTCCACATTGAATTAGCAATTGCAAGCAATAAAAGCACAAGAACAAGGAGTTGTCTGTTTTAAAGGAGATGGCATGAAATGAGCATGTCTCTGTATAACAAATGATTTTTTAGCCTCTGTCCAGGAATAGCTACATCTGGAAGGGAAGGTATTGCTAAACCTTGCAACACAAAGACTCACGTCATAACTACACTATAGCCAAGTGAATACTATCGTGAAGATAAGGTCAACACAAAAGAATAATGAAGAAAACACTTTTTACTTTGTGTGGGAATGTGGACATATATAAAAAATAGAGAGTTCATAGATAACTATGGTAGTTACTGAAGATGATTGTAGTTCACCAATGTGTTCACTAGCAGGGACATGAGATTAAACAATACTCAATCTGAGGTTATATTCACCAATGTCCTCAGAATCTGAAAGTGAATGATATCCTTGGCTCTACCAAAGATATGGGATTCCAAAACTAGGAGGCAGAGAGTACTGGTGGAAAGAAAATACATCTTTCTGTGTGGGGTCAGATAGACTTTGATTTTGCCTGGCCCTTGTCCCATCTTTGTGATCTTGCACATGAGAAAAAGTACCCATTTCATCAATCCTTTGCCATCTCACCACTGTAATATTTCTTTGCTTCTTTGTAAGTCAAAGAAGGTAGGTAGAAAGTGAAATGTTGTTTATATTTGCATTTCTTTTATTATTAGGGAAGCTCATTATCTTTTATGTATTGTTCACTTTTAATTTTTATTTGAATGTTTGCATTTTGAGGAGCCCCTATAAATAACATGTCCCTTTCTCCACGTAACATATGGGTATTAAAAAAATGATGTTGCAGATGGAAGCCAAGATGTAATCTTTTGCACAAGAGGATGCTAAGTTGAAGGACAGTGGTTATCATGAAATTTAAGTGGGACTTATAACAACAAATTTAAACAAATTTACCAAACAGCCTAGGGACTTATAACATACAAGAAGAACAGGGATACCTGTAGTCATACTACATAAATTTGCTCACAGAGAAGTAAGTATCAGGAACAGGGAATAATTATGCCCTCGGAACATTGTGAATTGCTTATTGATGTTCTTTGCTCATTTTTTAACTTTGTGATTTATTTCTTATTAATTTGTAATAGCTACTTTAGAATAGAGATTTTTTTTTTAAATTAAAAGGTTTTGTCAAGCCTTGGCTGGGTAGTTCAGTTGGTTAGGGCATTGTTCACATATACCAAGATCGCATGTTTGATCTCAGGTCAGGGTGCATACAAGAATCAATCAATGAATGCATAAGTAAGTGGGACAAGAAATCTCTCTTTCCTCAATAGATAAAAAAATAAAAAGTTTTGTCAAATTATTCTGTTTTTAACTTTGGTTTACTGTGTTTTTACCATAGTTTTTTTTTCAATTTCATTATATTCAGATACCTATTTTCTAGAAGGATTTTGATTAATGTTTCTTTTTGTGTAGAAATTATTTTACTTGAAAAAAAAACTATGAAATCTATGAAATGTTCTAAAGGATGATTGAGACACCTGAGTAAAAAGAGAAATGTATCATGTCCCTGGGCCACAAGAATTAAAATTGTAGAGATTTAATTCTTCACAAAATAATGTATTAATTCACTGCAATCACAAACAAGAATATAACAGATTTTTTTTACATTTTTAATTTAATTTTTTCAATTTAATATTATTTTGAATTATTTTCTGGAGTACAGAATAACGATTACACAATCATATACTTTACAAAGTGTTCCCCTGGTACTTGACTAGCTATATCCTAACATCTTTGTAAAAACAAAGTGCCAGAAAGTGCAAGAAAAATATGTAAGAGATATTTTTAACTGGGTCTTTATAGTATGACAAAGGGATTTGCTACTTTTCAGGAAATTACCTACCCCGGTGTTTTGAACAGAAATTAAAGGGACACATGTTGTGATTTTGTTTTGAAATCCTTTAAAAATGACTGTTTTTCCCCTTTAAGTGAATTTCAGTTGACTTGGTGATTCTCCTCCCTCTAATTGAGGGAAAGGCCCCCTGCTTTCCCCATCACAGAGAGGGGGCGGAGCATTCTCAGAAGCTTGGAAGAGAGCCTTTCCTGGCCCATCTTGGGGGAGGGGCTGTATTTCACGAGGCTGCAGCTGACAAGAAGCTTCAAGGTAATGGCTGTCTTATAGCTAGTTATTTTCTGGGATTCTTCGGGCTGTGGTATTATGATGGAAAAACAATAGATTGTTGCCTGTGAGAGGTGGGAATGAAATAGGGTTTGGGGAAAATTACTGTTATTGTGACAGAGTCAACCCCCTGAAAATTTAGTTTCTCCCGATATTTTCTGAAGTCCACAGTGTGGGAATGGGTGATCAGATTACCGCTTCTAAATTAAGACTTCAGTGAGGCATGCCGTTCATGTTAATTTTTTACATGGCATTCCATGTTTCTATCTTTATTACAAAGTTTATTATATTTTTGATTTAAACAAAATCAAATTTTACACAAAAATTACTGATAGAAAAATGTAAACATAAAAAGTGGCACATACAAACAGAAATATAAATATACACAAACATGAAAGGTATCCAGATACGCTGTTGAGTGATAGCATGTGTGTGTGTGTGTGTGTGTGTGTGTGTGTGTGCGCGTTTTCCTTAAGGAGGGAACTAGAATCCTCTCTTAACAGTCAGCATCTCTGGAACATTCGTATTACTGGAGGTTTCAAAATATATTTTTATCCAGCTTCAGCATTTTTAGAATTGATTTATTCTATGATCGTTTTTTATCATTAGAAGGACAAAATGAAGCTGAAACAGTACCCCTGTTTGGTTTCAGACAAATAAACATTCATACACACACACACATAGAGATGTGCAAACATACCCTCTTGCTTGGTTTTTGCCAATAGTGGAAATTTTCCTGGATCTGATCAAGCCCACAGCCTGGTTGCTGTGTTGGCTACAGCCCTGCATGCATCCTCCTTGCAATTCATTCTTTCAGACCCACAGGTATGGCAATCGTCAGCAAGAGCTGTCTATATATATTAAGTTTAAGAGTGAGGCAGAGAGGGAATCTGGTTCATTTCTATTGGAGCTTTTTAAAATATTATGTGGCTTGATGCAGTACATACAATTGAATGTTATATAGCTGACAAATGGAAATATGAACATGTAGTAATTTGAAAAGATGTCTGAGAAGTAGTATTAAGTGAAAAATGAAAATTGCAGAATGGCAAAGATAAAGTACTGTGTTAATACAATTTGTGTAATAAAATCAGAAAAAAATATACGGCTACCTACTAATGGGATTGTTTGGTTGGAGAGCTAAGAAACTCTTTACTACCTATTTAAAATAATTTGTAATGCATATTTAGTCATTTTTAAAGAATATCAGAAAAAAGTTTGAGATAAAATGTTACAAATTAAGGGGGAATTATATTTGAAGTGATTCATTAAAAACGACATTGAAAATACTAATATGGAAAAACTTTCAAGCCATGGACTTGAGCATGGTAAAATGGTTGTCTGAAATTATATGTATTCATGTATATATGTAAAGAAAAATATGGAACAATACTCAAGAAACAATAATGATTATTTTTTACAGAATTACATTTCCTTTTTATAAATATTTATCTTTCCAGTTTTCACTAAGCATCCCATTTTCTTTTGATTAGACCATTGGAAATAAAGACATTAGCATTCTATTTTTTGTGCAATGCATAACAAAGCTATAATTTTGAGCATAGTATATTCTGGAAGCCTGAGAAAACTGCTGGCTTGGCAAGATGTAGTTCCCAACCTTCCATAAGGAGGATCTGGTAGTAACAATGTGCAGTTCTGGGATTGGTCACAAGATGGCACTTGCCAGATTTAAGAAATTTTTTTAGGCAACTATTTTACAAAGTGAACAAAGCCATGAAACCTATTTTATATTAGCAGACTGTGAAACAGCATGAAGGTTGTAATTGTAATTCTGTTTCCAAATTTATATGTGTCTGGAATCAAAAGCCCCAAATTAGCACTGATGGGAGAACTCAAAAAAGCATTAAAAATATATTTACATAGAATTTGACCAACCAAAGACTGAAAGCAATTGGTATTTCCCTGTTCCCTGTCCACACCTCACACTTTTCCTGAGAGACATGATTTCAGCATGAACCAAGTAACAACTGTGTCACGGAGAACATTTTAATAAAAACAAAAAGAAAATAAACATAACATCTACGTTACAGATGAAATTTCATCTCTTTCCTATGTTTCACAATGACATGCTGCTGAAGGATTTTTTCTTTCCATTTAACTGGTGATTCCCTGTCTCCTTTTGGACAACCTAGGTTAATGTCATAGATGTACATGACCTAGGGAATGTGCATGTGAAGCCATCTGAGTCCCAAAAAGGAAGTGTGACCATAGAAGCATCAACCAGGAAGAAGGTCCTGCTGGACAAGCAGCTGGAGTGAGAATCAAAGCAGCAGGATTATTGGACAGTGCTCCCCATAGTCTATATGACATTGGTAAGGTTTTCTCTATCCCGTGTTAATACATGTTTAAGTTGAGAATATGGAGTGCAATTTATTTTAATTATAGCTTATTAGCCATACCATTTTAAATTAAAAACCTTAGATATTATTGTTAGGATGTAATTAAATATGTTAAGTTCTGATAAAAATTATTTGAATGGCTATAATGATGTTTACTTATAGAAGATTTGTAGGTCCCAACCAACTGCTTGACTCTAAAGGAATCCTTGCAAACTACCCTATTCCATAAGTAGCCATTGTGTCCAAATATCTGACCCCTCAGTTCATTTTCTTAATGAAGTCATTGTGTTATTGTCTGAGTTCAGGAGACACCAACCCCAGTATCTGTGCCTGGCTGCCTTAGGTTGATAAGGCAGCATTACAAAGTTAAAAGATTACCCTAGAATAAATCTCAAGAGGCCCCAAAGTATCAAAGTATCCAATAACAGAAATGATGTCCCTGACACACTCACCAACATCTCACCCCTCCCAATCTCCTACCATATACAGGTTCAATCATTCCTTATATGCAATAGCTTTAATGAGGCCTGTATACTGGGGCATTATAGAACTGCTTCTCATTTCTGAAATTTTTGAGTATTTTCCCCCTGTGTTTCTTTGGTGCCCAGTATGTATTTGTATTTTTGTGTATCTTCTCTATTTTCATTGTCCATCTTCTTTCTTCTTTAACAGAAGAAAGCTCTTTACTTATTCTCTTTACTTTTTGTTTGAGTATCTTCTAGTATTGCCCATTCAAATTATTTTAAAGCTTTCTTGCAGGCTTTCAGGAGGATATGTATAAGCACAAAAGGAGAAAACTATTAAAAGCCCTAAGACAACATCACTGTTTTTTTTCTTTTTCTTTTTTTTTTTGTGGTTAACCAGGCAGTTAAACAAAGACCAATGGCCTAAGGATTTTTCTAGATGTTTCAGATTTCACAGATTAATTTCTAGTCTATATCCAGATGTACCAACCAATCATATACACTTTCAGATCTTCAGTGGTTCATTTTGAATTTTTTCTTCTTTTCCCCATTCTTTCTTATGTTCCTATCTACTCCTTCCCTTAGACTGTTGCTGAACTTTTAAAAATTATTTTAAATTTCTAATATCTTTTGATATTCATAGTAGCATTTGTCACTCCAGCCAGCTAGTAAAATTAGAACTCTGTCCAAAATCCATGTCAGTATATCTATCTATTTGAGAAATTGTAACATACAACCTTGCCACAATGCTTGTCTGAGAAACTTTGAAGTTTAGACATTTTATCTTTAACAGTTTCTCATATCTCCTCACTAAAGAATTGATAAGTACTTTTATTCAGAGTGGTGACAGGAAATATTTTGGTCCAGCCTGGATCTTTTCTTCTGAGTGTGTCAGAGAATGGAGAAAGAAGCTTGTTTTTCTTTGAATCGCCCAAGGCAGGTCCCATGGAGGTCTATCTTTTTGCTTGTTAACCCAGGGACTAACACAACAGCATAGTCTCTCTAATTTAATATTCAGCATGTAGTAAAGCTTTGTGCTGTGGTGATTAAGTTGTAAGGTTCTCATCAGCCTTTCTTTTATTTCTTTTAATATGTTTCCATTTCCATCATTCTGAATCTTGATTTTAGCAGCTTCATCCATTGGCACTGTGTATGTTTTAGAATTAACCACAATACAAAATCTCCAAACATAGCAGGTTTACCTTCTTGTGACTTTAGGTCACTACTTGGTATTAGTTTTCTTATTTCCTCTTTTTATTCATGTTCACATACATTTCAACAGAGATGATATGTCCCTTTGGCCCTGGCAGTGATTCACTGTCTGGTTTGCCCTTTCCTTACTGAGGATGCTCATCCTTAGTAAATTTTACTCTGCTGTTTTTTCTCTTCATATGGGCTGACATTTATCTAGTGAACATTAATAATAAGATTTCAACTTTGTTTACAGCCAGTTTTAGTTTCTTGTGCTTATGTTTTAGGGGTCATGGACTATTTTGAATAGCGGTTAAGTATTTAAGATTCTTTGCTTTACCAATGTTTCTATCTCCCTCGTGGTCTTTGGGAGTGCTTTAAATGGACCATTTCTACTCTTTTATATGGATGTTATACACTAAAAGTTTGAAATCTGTTTATTCTATAACCACTCTTTCTCATATGATATTTGGCTTCTGCTTTCTCACAGAGGATATATTCTTACCCTGATCTCAATCTCCAGATTATAACACTTTGGTTTCTACTCCTTCATTTCCTTTTGCTCACATGGTTTAGTGGCATGTGAGAAATTCACTGTAGTTAAAGGCTTTGCCAATAAGGATAATTTCTCAAACTATAAGATGTTGATGTCATTTAGATTCTCAACATTTGTCTTGTGTTAACTAACTTTCAACAAAAGAGATATTTAATGAAGATAAGAATATATAGAAATAATTATACCGCTGCATCAAAAGTCAGTGTCTTAGGTACCCCCCTAACATTTTCAAGCAAATTTGGAAATAGATGTTAATAAAAATTAATTAAAGAGGTTGAAAAATTGAATTTAGAATATATTCTTTGTACACTCCAGAGGATATTTTCACACATACATTGCGGTACCCATGACCTTCTTTGGCAATCATTTACCTAAAGCACAAAACAATATTCCTATATGTAGTCCCATTGTTCTCACAGTAAAATACTAATTTTTTATACACATTACACTCTGAATTGGGGTACTTTTATAACACTAAAGAGGACTGAGTATAATTTAAAAGTCAAATTCACTTGTTTAGGTATATAGTTTTATAGTTTTGACAAATATATACAGTCATGTAACAACAAATACAGGCATACCAAAGAAATATTGCAGGTTCAATTCCGGACTACCACAATAAGGCCAATATGGCAATAAAACAAGAATACAATTTTTTTGGTTTCCCACTGCATACCAAAGTTACATTATACTATGTTGTAGTCTGTTAAGTGTGTAATAGCATTATTTATAAAAAAGCAATGTACACACCTTAATTTAAAAATATTGTAAAAAATTCTGACTATTATGTGAGCCTTCAGCGAGTCATAATCTTTTGGTTGGTGGAAGATCTTGCCTCAGTGTTAATGGCTGCTGACAGATTAAGGTGGTGATTGTTGAAGGTTGGGGTGGCTCTGGCAATGTCCTTCTTTTTTTTCAGTTTTTTAAATTGTTGTTCAAGTATAGTTGTCTCCATTTCCACCCCACCCATCCCCACCTACCACCCTCAAAACTACCCCCTTTGGCTTTGTCCATGTATCCTTTATACATGTTCCTTGGTGGACCTTCCCTTATTTTCCCCCATTATTCCTCTCCTCCTTCCCCTGTGGTTACTGTCAGTTTGTTCTTTAAATCAAGGTTTCTGGTTATATTTTGCTTGCTTGTTTTGTTGATTAGTTTGTACTTATGGGTGAGATCAATTTCTTAAAATAAGACATGCCTGCCCTGGCTGGTGTAACTCAGTGGATTGAGCCTGGGCCTGCAAACCAAAGGGTTACCAGTTCGATTCCCAGTCAGGGTACATGCCTGGGTGTGGGCTAGGTCCCCAGTAGAGGGTGCTTGAGAGGCAACTACACATTGATGCTTCTCTCCCTCTCTTTCTCCTTTGCTTCCTCTCTCTCTAAAAATAAATTAATAGTGTTCAAAAAAATAAAAATAAGACATGACTTCCTCACTAACGTTGATCATTTCTAGTTTTTGATAGACAGTGAGAGATGTGAAGCTCTTCCTTTAGCTTGAAAACTTAGATACCATTGTATGATTTTTAGATGGCCTAATTTTGATATTGTTGTGTCTCAAGGAACAGGAAATCCTGAAGAGATGAAGAAAGACAGAAGGGTGGCAGGTCAATGGAGCAGTCAGAATACACACATTTATCAGCTAACTTCACAGTCTTATATGGGTGTGGTTTGTGGTGCTCTAGAACAAATAATAAATCAAAGATTACTGATCACAAAACACCATAACAAATATTAGTATTATAATATTGAAAAAGTTTGAAATACTAAAAGAGTAGCCAAAATGTGACACAGACATGAAGTGAGCAAGTGGTAGTAGGAAAAATGGCGCCAGTAGACTTTCTGGACACGGAGTTACCACCACAATTCTTCAATTTGTAAAAAAATAATACCTGGGAAGCACAAATGAGAAAAGCACAATAAAGGGAAGTATGCTTGTACAGTCAAGTTACAGAATATTTCCATAACTCCAAAATGTTCCCTTCTGCCCCATTGTAATGGAAACTCTCTGTCCCAGTTCTTGGCAACCACTGGTCTATATTCTGCCCCTATAGTTTTTTTTTTCCCATAATGTCATAAATGGAACATACAGTATATAGACTTTTTCATCTGGCTTATTTTGCTTGACATGTTGATGGTATTTACCCATTTTGTTGCATGTATTCATAGTTAATGCCTTATTATAGCTGAGAGGTATTCTATTATTCTACAATTTGCTTATTAACTCACCTACAGATTTACAGTTTTGGTGATTATTATTAAATTTGTTATAAACATTCCAGAACAGGTCTTTGTACATAAGTTTTCATTTCTCTTGGGTAAAAACCTAAGGGTGTAATTTCAGGGTTATATGGTAAGTTTATCTCTAGCTATGTTAGACAAATCACCAAAGTGTTTCCTAAATCACCTGTGATATTTTGTATTTCCACCAGGAATAAGTAAATAAATTCATTAGATCTGCATCATTGCCAGCAACTGATACTGTCAGGTCCCCCACCCGCCCCCGCTTTTAGTATTTGTAATTCATACAAAGGTGGTAGTGGTTCCTCATTGTGATTTTATTTGCATATCCTTAATTACTAATACCACTGGAACATTTATTAAATGTTCATTGGACATTCATATATAGTTTTCCCTTGTTATCTGAAAGTAGTGTATTCCTATGAAACCTTTCATAAGCTAAATAGCCTAAAGCAAAGAATAAATTACCATTAATTTATATGGGAAAATTTCTAGCATTCCCAAAACCCAAAAATAACCTACCAA